TGGTTAAGAAAACTCTATCAACAGTTCATTAGAATCTGAAATATCACATTTGGTTTTTCTCAGTTTGGAGAATGAAACCAACATTAGTCACTCCCATAAATCATGAAGAGAACGTCTGAGGAGGCAACACTTTGCACATGAGATTGGATTGAAACAGGAGTTAAAACTTGTTACATAACCAGTCCTCTCTCTCTCTCTCTGGATCAAATTTCTGGTCCTCTCGACTCAATAGCCTTTCATATATATATTTGCATATGATTGCTTTATTGACAGTCGTCGCCTGGCCATACTTTGTAAAAATATTATTAAGCAGTGTTTTGCTCCAAGTGTTCCTTGTGTTGTTTTTAGCAAACCTAAGACAAAGAAATGCGCAGCTCTGCCTCTTGTGCCGGGCGTGGTGCAGCCAGGCTGGCTGTCGCCGCCTCTGGTGGGGCTTAGTCCGCCACCGGTGCCGCCGCCTCTGCTGCTGTGGTGCAGATGTCCTGTGTCTGTGCAGTGATATGAAGTTTAGTAATCGTCGGGGGTCGCCACTTCCTAGTACCGTTTCTTTAGAGCCAGTAAGACCACCTCGATTCATCACATCAGTAAGCATGACTAACTTCGAGCAGCACCTGTCGCTCATCTTGATTCTCTCTTGGTTGTTCCTTTCTGTCATGTATTCAATAAGTAGACATTGGTGTTAGAAGTAACTTAAGATTTTCCTGATTTTTAGAGATGTATACTGGTACATGCATTAAACATGACTGAAGTGTTTGACTGTTTTCTTCTCTGTGCGTTTTTCCATCATACCTGAGTGTGATCTTGTATGAATGAGAGCAGGTGTCAGGTGTTGCTAGCAGACAACGCAATAGGTTTATCTAGTTTATTTTTACTTCTACAACAATGTAATGCTCTTTAAAGTAAATCCAACAAAACCAAATATTCAGACTGAACAAGGAGCACTTGTTGTTACAGGAACTTGCTATGTACAGCGACACACTCCTCTGACAGACACGAGAAGGTTCAAAGTGCTTATCAAACAGAAGGGAAAAAAGGAGGAAAACCCAACAAAAGCACAAGTGATCCCTTTGTAAGAGACCCGTAATAAAACTGCTTGGCACCAGTCTCCACCAAAAGAGACACACACGCAGTCACAGCACTGCTCGATGCATTTGCATGTACACACACTCGTAAGTGATTACTGGGCCGTTGCAGTGACGCCTCTGATAGACAGGTCAGTGTGAGTGAAGAGAAACACAAATGTATGCAGACCAAGAAGAGGAAAAAAATAAAAAATAAACACAGCAAGGGATCATCCTGACAACATGTTCTGGTGCCCTGTCCACCACCACCACCACCACCCCTCCCACAAACATACAACCATCAGCCATCATGCTTGTTACAATACTGAAAAGCACAGCACACCTTCACTTTCAGCTTTCTTTTGATGCACTTTGTGGCAGTGTCTATTTAGTGTCATGTGCAAAAAAATAGGCTCTTTTTAAAAGACATTTCACATTCATGGATTGTTGAACAATATAAACTTGGCGGCCCACATCCCCGTGATGGCGGCACAACGCAGTGAGAGTTCATGCTGCAGTCATCGTGTCTACGGGGAAAGTGAAAGAGCTGCGGCCTCTGACTGGGCTGCTCTTCTTCAAATTATGCTCTTTGTCTGTGTTTACGAAATTGTGAATTACAAACTGTAACCCCGTATTTTCTTTCAACATTTAGGACAGACACACACATTGGGAGGAGTGTGATGCCATGGATCATATCATCTGCTAACAGGAGGCCTGATCTTAGATTCCAAGCCAGGTTTTTCTAAATGCAGCTCCCTTTTCCAGTTGGTCTCTGCAGATGGAGAGAACAGGGAGCTGCTCAGGGTCAAGGCACAACTTTAACCTGCTACATATTAAACGCAGTTGTACCATCTCAAATAAATTCATAAAGTAGTTTATGTTAGGATGATTAATGCCTCACAGTTGTTGCCATGGCATCATCCATTCAAGTGTTTTTGTAAATCTATACTTGACAGGATTTACAGTGTCTCGTCTATGAGGGGCAAACGGTTCCTTTTTTGCAGCTCCATGCGAAAGACCAGAGGTCGAGCTGTTGACTTAAACATGCACCACTTCCAAAGAGGAGCACAGAGAAAAACAAAGTTGTCAGGCCACTGCACACTCCAACCACCTGCTGATTCTAACAGGAGATGTCAGGATCACACCAGAGACACAGCTCCAGTATGACTGGAAGTCTCAACAAAATCATATGCTACACCTTTAATGCTCCAGCTAACAGGTGAGAAAACTGATTTAGAATAATAACAAAGGCCATTGTTGATGAAGTAAATCTGAAGAGTAATAATCACTCAGCAACTCCAAGCTCAGTGTGAATGTGTGTGCATGAACAAGTGTGTGTACAAACTAGAGGTAGTGTGTTTGAATGGAGTCATGTTTGTCTGTGTGAGTCGGGGGCTTTTAATTTTGGGCTGCTTGTTTTGGACCACGGTTTCTCAATGCATAGAGGTCTCACTGGCTACAGACACGCTCGCTCTGTCGTTGCAAGAATCACGTGACTGTCAAAGGTCGCACGATGCACTGCTTATATGTGCATGTGGAAACCCTTTCACCCACAATCCATGCTGTGATTGGCTGACAGAAAACAGGACGAGGGCCTTCGTAGCCACAGACTAGAACCAGCTTTCACTCCCCAGCTCATAAACACTGATTATCCTGTGGCGGTTTGAATTGTCTGGATTTAAAGACAGCAATTCAGCAACAAAACCTTAATAAATAAAATCAAAGTAATGGTCGCATTTAAAAGGGAAATCCACTGCAGCATCATAACAGGACACCCTGCCTCACTATTTAAAAAAAAAAAAAACAAACAAAAAAGAAAAAACACCTGTTACTTTCAACAGGGTGCAAAATACAGGTAGTTTTCTGCAAATAACATCATTAAAAAACAAAGAAATAAAAACCTTTTGGTGACTAAGTAAGTGAGCCACTATTCAAGAATTCTATACACGTCTCTTAAATGCTATATACGTAGGTATCTGAATATATTATTTTATTTGTTTAGTTTACAAAGTGTGTGTGTGTACCAGGTGGTCAGTCAGTGGGTGCCAGGCAGAGTGGACATCCCAGTGAAGGTTTTCTGACAGACTGATTCCATGTGGACTTCTAGCAAAACGCCCAGAGCCCTTTCTGCTGCCGCTGCTCTCCTCCATGTCCCAGCCAAACCACAAGTGAGGTCATGGTTGGCTGCCACCTCAGAAATGACCAAAAACTGGACCAAAATGAAAATGTGTCTTCTGTAGAATCTGAGCATGGGAATTTGAAACGTGTCAAATTCACACTGTCACTTCTGATTTCCACCGGATAGCTGAAAAGTGAGCAAGACGTTCAGCTCCAAGTGCCTGCTGGGTAAAAGTAATAAAAAAAAGGGGGCTGGTGTGGATAAAGGGCATGAAGGTATGGCTGGCAGGAGAAATTACACAGTCAGTCAGTCTGTGTCGGGCACCAACAACCTGCAGCTCATCTGCCGACTGACACGACCCAAAAACGCCACAGTACATCAGTTTACAGTCCTGGCAGACGATCAGGCTGGAGGATCTGTGTGTGTCCATCAGCTGGTAAAGGGTCAAATGCCTTTTCTACAGATCACTTATTTTCTCCTGTGGCAAGACTCACATGCCAGATTTCCTACTAATGATCAGGTACCCAAATGACGCATGGTAGGTTGTGAAAGAAAAACAGTTGGAATATCCTAACAGCACCTTCTGTCCACACCCTGGGCTCAGTCTCAACACAAGCACAATCACCATCATGTCACAAATTCTTTTTCTGTTTTGTATTTAGCTTTGCCATTTTGTGGGAAAAGCAGCTAAAATCTCTCCAAAACTCAAGCAAGCAGACGGGCCAAGTTGAGTTTCAGCCCCCACTGTGTTAAAGGGTCCATTTACCCAATTCACCAAATTGTGGACTATTGTAGGTAATTGCACTGAGTCATGGCGACACTGAAGGAAATTCTGTAGTTACGCTTTAATGGGGAACTCGCTCTCTCCTTGGGTGCTGAAGGTATCACAAAGGCACCACAGGGTTGGAAAGATGTGGGTGGTTACCTGATCACATTAAAATCTATGGAGTCGCACTATGGGAACTGGAGGTAGCAGCGTTTCTGGAGCTGACCCATGCTGGGGATTAAATTCAGGATATATCAGCCACTGTTCCAACCAGTTTGACTGTCTTTGTTTTAAGCTTTCTTTAAAAAAAAATCCCAAATGTGTGGAAGGGCCACACTACAGTAAATCACTGGAGCACCGCTTTAAATGCCATGTTTCAGTGCCAACGACTGAACATCACACTGACCATTTTGAGCAAACATGCCACCCTCTGATGACATCTTCTTAAATGTAAAAAAAAAAATGCTGCTTTTCTTTGTCATATGTTAAACTGAATATCTCAGGATAGGACAAAACAAGCTATTTGCTGGGGGTGGGGGGTGGAATTGGGTGAATGGACCCTTGTAGCCCTTCCCTAAACAACATTTGTGAGCATCATCATCCAGTCATTCCTGATGCTGATTGCCAGGAGATTTTTCAAGGTAAAAACGATTCATTTGTATGATGCCATGAATCATTTTCTTAGGATTTCACACCCTTCAGAGAAAAGTAGTAGTCTAGGATGGTACATTGAAGTCTGATGAGAAATGTGGACCAAGGTCCTCCAAGAGACTTCAGCGACACAGTGAGATGACCTTCTCTGCCTGAATGGTCCAGGGCACCACGGTGTCCATTCTCACCCCTCTGGACTTGGAGCGATGTCCCATCGCTGCCACAAACCCTCTGGGCATGCGACTTCCTCTCACCCCCACCCAGTGTTCAGAGGACTGCATTTCACCAACATGTCATTCAGCTCCTCCGCCACCTCCTCCTCTGTATATACACATTAAATTCCATTTCTGCAGCACACACACACACACACACACGCACACGCACACGCACACGCACACACGCACACGCACGCACGCACACGCACGCACACACACACACAAAGTAGCTCCTGTGCTCTTCTTCAGCAGTGTGCCTGCGGCTGGCAGCTCGGCTTGATTCCCCCTCTTGTCCGCCTCCTCTGGGCCTCAGTTGGAGCTGGCTGTGATGGGTTTCTCCAGCTCCAGGTCCAGGGGAGCCAAGCTGAGCCGGAGGCTGCTGTAGCAGGTCTTACAGACGCGTGTGGGCTCGAACAGCTGCTGGCTTGGCACTGGTATCTTCTGGTTGCAACAGCTGGCGCAGAACACATTACCGCAGTTCCTGCAGGAGGACACAGACCGGTCACTGCGACACTTTCAGACAGAGCCTCTTTATACCCACATTTACCATGCGTCTCCTTTTCAGGTTGTTTTTACATGTGACTCAGCTTCATTACATTTAACCCAAGGCCTTGGTCTTCATACGTGAGACACTAGAATTCATATCCACAAGCCTGAATTTGAGAGTTCTTTGAAGGTTGCCTAGAGATCGTCTTACTTCCCTTCAAGAGTTTTCAATTCAACTCCATACATGAATATATTTTCACAGTTGTTTCCTTCAAGGCACAACAGGAAAAAATACAATACAAATGTAATTATAAAAACTTCTATTTTATATCCAAATAGACAAAACAGTAAAATTGCCTGAAATTGTCATCTAAACTCTAAAATGTACAACCCACTGCATCATAGCTCAAAGCTTGTATATAGCTGATTTGAAGCTATCAGTTTTTGGTCAATATCAGACTCATGATTAATATAAACATCAGCTTTCTCTCACTGTACCAATACAACTGAGTGAAAACCTGGTATTATTTCCCAAATGTAACATTTATATACCTCAGTGCATGGAAACCATTATAACATGGACATGAACCATTTTGCTACATAAGGCCAAGGACTAAAAGCAACTGGAGGACTGCTGTGCATGAACGCAGAAAGACCTGACCGTACTGAATGAGGACTGGTTATGTCATGGCTGACACCTGATCTGCTCACATGGTCAGACTCAGGCCTGGTGCCTTTCTAATGTAAATACTGATTACTGAAAATGAGCAAGACCTTTCCTTCTATACCATTTAATGTGTTTCACAAGAGATCTTGGTAGAATATTTCAGTAACTACCATGCAGCTGCAGCACAGCGTTCCCATCTGTAGCAACAGTAACGTGCCAGCCATCTAGATTTATAATGTATTTGTTGTGTCTGATTACAATCTGGTGACGCATGGAAAAGGAGGAGTAAATAGTTGTTAAATCCGAACGACTGAGCGGTGCTCCCTCAGCTTTCACTAGAGGCCTTCACATGTTCACTCTGTTCTGAAGAACCGGGACCCAACCCGGGACACAGGTTTGGACTGGGAACAAATTCTACTCAGTCTAACTGGAGCAGGGAGGATCTTATTTTACTGATGCAGGTCTCTGCTGTGTGTCAATATGTCTAAAATTCATAATGTATTTATTTATACTTGTTTTTGAAGCATAAAAAAGTTATTTTAGTTTCTATGACTTTTATTTTATTCTTAGGACATTACTATTATTTTGCTACTCTCCCATCATGGTTGCTTGTTCATACTTGCATTACACTTCCGCCAGTGTTTGTGTTCTCTCTTTCCC